CCTCAGGACCCCCCAGGGCCGTGCTTAGCACAGACTTCTCCAAGTGTGGTCCCCAGACCTGCGGCAGCAGCCTGCAGCTGGGAAGTACAGGCACTGGCTGGCGCGGGGGTCCGCGCCTGTGATCTCAGCGACTTAGGAGGCCGGGAAGGGGGACCCCTTGAGCCCGGGAGATGGAGAGCAGCCTGGGCAACATAGGGAGACCCCCATCTCCACAAAATAACCCCCCCGCAAAAAAATAGCCTGCGGGAGGTCCCAGCTACTGGGGAGGCTGAAGCGGGAGGATCGCTTGAGCTGGAGAGTTCGAGGCTGCAGTGAGCCGAGATGGCGCCCCTGCGCTCCATCCTGGTCGAGAGCTTTGAGAGCTTTTTTGAGACCCTGTCTCAAAAGAAGGGAAAAAATGCAGATTGCGCCCCCGCCCAGACTTTGGGAACCAGCGGGTTGGGGACGGGACCCATCAATGCCTTAACAAACCCTGCAGGAGACCGCGGACCCGCTGGGTTCCAGGTCAGCGCGGCGGAGGGAGAGTGGGGAGCCGCCCGGGAGGGGCTGGCCGGATCCAGTTCAGACCCCAGGGGCTCCGGCCGGCTGTGACCCGACGAGCGCCAACTGGGCCCTCACCAGAGCCTCAGGGACGATCGCCCCACAGGCCGTCCGCGTGGGCGTGGGGCGTCCCGAGTGGATTCCTGCAGGACGCACCCCTGCTCCGAGAAGAGAGGGGCGGGACCCTCGAGGGGTCCCTGAGCGAGGCCCTTCCAGAAAGGTCTGCGGCGCTGCCGGTCTTGGTGACTCTGGGTTCCCTGGGGTCCGCGGAGGAGACCCTGCCGACCAACCCCTCCCGGACCCCACGTGCCACAGGGAGGGCGCGCGCGGCCAGGCGGGGTCCCGAGGCACCCAAGCCCGCTCCCCGTCCCGCAGACACCTGTGAGTTGACTGACAGCCCCGCACCCCGGGGGAGGGGGCTCCGGCGCGGCTCAAGGCACAGGGACCCCGGCCCGGTCCCCCAAGGCGCAGTGAGCGCGGGGGGCGGGGCGAGCCCGGGGTCGTGGGCGGGGCGAGCGCGGTCAGGCCCCGCCCCCAGTAAGGCCCCGCCCCCGCAGCGGCGTCCGCCCCGCAGTTGCTCAGTCGTCGGCGCGCGCGGCTGGGAACGGTCGCTGAGCCTCGGCGTTCCCGAGCTGGTGCCCGAGCGCGGCGCCCCAGGAGCCCCTCTCCCCGCGCCGGCCCACGGTGAGTGCCGCGGGCTGCAGCCGGTGCTGTTGGGCCGCCGTCGGGGCTCGGCCCCGAGCCCCCACCCGGACGGACCGACGGCCGCCGCCCCCTTGGCCCGGGTCCCCCAGGAGTCACGGGGGTGGCCTCCGAGGCGGGGGGCGGTGGGAAGGTCTCGACGCCCCCTCGGCCCTGGGGAAACTGAGGCCGCGCATGCTCGGAGGGGCGGGGTCTCGGGGGCATTTCTCCGAGCGCGCAGGAGCAGGTGCGGCGGTGGGGTCCGCACTGCGGAGCGGACGGGGGTGGTATCGGGGCTCTGGCGACGGCCTCCCCCGCACTTGGGCCGCCAAGCGAGGCTTCGACCCCCGCGCCCGCCTCCCCAGGGGAGCAGACGGGCCCGGGGCCTCCCAGCACCCCTCCCGGGCGGGCTGCGCCCCCCCCAGCGCCCTCGTCTCTTCCGTCCTCCCGCAGGTACTCGTAGGGCCCTTCAGGCCCCCCCAAATCCCTGCGAATGTAAAGTCGCCCCTCCTTCAGCCCCACTCCGCGAAGGGCTGTGGGCTCTTGGCCTGGGCCGGGGTCTCCGGGGGAGAAGTTTAAAATGACACACTAGGCCCGCCCCCAGACTCCCCCCGGACCGCCCGCCCCCTCCAAGGGGAGAGACCCCCATAGAACTGAGGGTGCGGCTCCCGCGGGCGCCCGGAGCCCTGGGAAATGGGGTGCCGCGAGGCGGGGCAGGGGGGGGTCGGTGAGCAGAGGGAGGAGAGAGCGCTGCGCAGACACAGGAGAGGGGAGGAAGAAGGCGCCGCGGACTCCGGTCTCCTGCGCTCCTGCTGGGCGCCAGCAGCTGGACCTTGGCAGCCGGTCTCAGACTTCAGGGAGCCCAAGGCCACCGGCAGCACTTGTTAGAATGCAGATTCCCGGGATTCGACTGGAATGAGACCCCGGGGAGCAGCGTTTGTAGCGGGCCCGCCAGGTAACCTGCACCTGGGCACTGCCATCAGCCGCGCAGGGGCCGTCTGGAGGAGTCAGTCAGACCAGGGAGAGATTCCCACGGGAAACCCCCAGGGCCTGGTGAAGGGGAGTCGGGGGCGCTGAGGGAGGAAGAGCGGGGAAGCTGGAGAGAAGACCAAGAGGGCGGCTTGGAGAGCCAGCCTGTGGGGCAGACGTCCCGCCACCTCCCCTGACAGGCACACACCCAGGGCACCAACAGCCACCCCCTGCCCCAAATGTGGTAAGAAGGGCGGCCCCAGCACGTTGAAGGCGTTTGTTCCCAGACATCCTGCACTGGGGAGGAAGGTTGACCCAACCTCTGCTCTGCTGCCCCCAGACTCAGCTACCTCACTGTTCCCCCACCCCCAGCCCCCAAACGGCCTGGCAGGAGATGGCTCAGAGTCCCAGTTTCACATCTGGGCTCTGGGCAAGTCGCCCCTGCCCTGGGCTGTGAAATGAGACGTGCCATCCTCCTTGCAAAATGTCATTCCCCATTCAGCCAGGGCCTGGGGGACAGCCAGGGAGCAAGGTGGGACGGGCAGGTGTGGCTCCGTCCCCGTGCCACAAGGCAGGAACTCCTTGGCAGTCCTCCCTCTGCTCACTGGACACATGGGAGTGTGGTCCTGGCCCTGGCATCAGGCATGAGCAGAGTCTGGGCTCATCCTGCCTCATGCTACTGTCCCAGGGTGAGAGCCTGGGAAGGAGTTACACCACATCTGGACCCACGGGAAAGACGGGGGGTCCCCTGCACCTGGCTCACTCCTGTCCCATAAGTGCTGAGAGCCACCCAGGCAGTCAGTGCTTCCTGCACTGGTCACAGACACAGGCAGATGCGTATGTCCACCATTCACAGCAGCTCTGGCCTCTGTAGCAGGTGGCTCCCAGGGCCCATGCAGTTGGGTGCAGCCAGGCTATGAGCTGCCCAGGCAGCCTGGGGTTTCCAGGGCAACCAAAGGGGTTTCTGCGCACCCAGGATGAACCAAGTCTTCTGTACACCTGTGCCAAGACGCCACTATTGCACCCATCCTAGCAACGGGCAGCGGGAGGGGCAGGAGCTGCGGTTGGGGTCAGGGTGGCCGGCCTAGCTGGTTGTCTCAGGAGCTTAGCACTGGGGACACCAGAGAGACCTGGATGGCCGTCCCCGGCCCACCTGCTGGCTCTGGGACCTTGGATAGGCTCTCCGCCCTGCGCCCTCTGTTTACCCATCTGAGATTCAGGGAGCAAAGGGCATCCCTCTCGGGCCGCTCTGGGGATGAGGAGGTGAGTGTGGAGAGAAAAATGCAGGGAGGGCACTGAGCCCCCTCTTTCTGCCTGGAACATCTTGTTCTCACCAAGACACCCCCTCCCCAACCCCGCAGCTCGGGCCACTTAGCTCCTGCGTCACGTTTGTCTCCAGGACTGCGAGCCCCCATCGCCCCGTCACACGCACATGCGGCCGGCGGTTGCCCTGGCAACAGCTCCAGCAGCGGCTGCTCTGCTGGCTTCGGGGGGCTGCAAGGGGAGCAGCCTTTTCCACCCAGCAAGGGAGGGGAAGCGGGGTCTGCGACTCCCGGGTCCCTGGGGATTTCACGACTGGCTGTGGGGGTGACAGCTTCCGGAAGCATTGTACCCAGCCCACTGAGCCCCCTGTCTTTTGGGGGGAGGCTCACAGGGGAAGGCACTGATAGGTTTGAAGGAGTGAGGCCCCCCCAAGCATTACCTCTCACAGGGTGGGAGCCGCAAACCCTCCTTCCTGTCCTCAGCTCTAGGGTCTGGTCCCATGAGAGCCTGCACCCAGGGCTCGGGAGCTTGCAGGGACCCTGGAATCCGGTTGAGATGTCCAGGAATGGTGTCTGAGCTAGTGTGGGTGTAGATTGGGGCTGGTGACCCTGAACCCCCACAGACACAGCAGGGGCCCGGGAGCTGGCGCCACAAGGTCCATTTGGAACCCACCACTGGCACGGTGTGCCCGGGCCCCTGTGCTGCCCACTGAGCTTATGAGTCTAGTGCAGCCAAGGGGAACTGGCCTGGGCATGCAGGGGAGGGGTGGGCTAGCCTGGCCCTCACCGCCAACTGTCTGTGGGAGCCTGGGTGAGCAATAGAACCTACTGAGTCTTCGTTTCCTCTCCTGTTCCATGAGAATGACCATGCCCCCTGCAACGGCCAGTGTGCCCAGCCCGGAGGCACCCTCCGCAGGTGGATGAGAGAGCACTGGCAAGGGAAGGGGACCCAGATAGCAAGGCTAGGACCCCGGGGGGCTGGGGGAGCACGGTGTCCTAGAAATCAGAGACCGGCAAGGCTGGGACAGGAGCCCAAGAGTGGCTACGTCTTTTGTGGTGGGGCAGAGGTGGCCTGACTCTGGGACAGTTTTCATGGAGGGGGGAGGGGACCTCCCTGGGGCTGCTGGGGGGCCATGTAGGCAGACGCAGTGCAGAGGTGGAGGGTCTGCATCTGTACCAGTGTGGAGGAAGAGGGTCTCAGGAGGCTGTGGTGTCTTAGCCATCATCCTGCCCCTGTTGAAGGGGTGTGCAGGTCGGTACCACCCGGCCTTCCTCCCTGACACGGGTGGGCTCGGCGGCGGTGGCTCATGCCTGTAATCCCAGCACTTTGAGAGGACGAGGCAGGTGGATCACCTGAGGTCAGGAGTTCAAGACCAGCCTGGCCAACATGGTGACACCCCGTCTCTACTGAAAGTACAAAAAAATTAGCCAGGCGTGGTGGGGGGCGTCTGTAATCCCAGCTACTCGGGAGGCTGAGGCAGGGGAGAATCACTTGAACCTGGAGGTGGACGTTGCGGTGAGCTGAGATCGTGCCACTGCTCTCCAGCCTGGGCGACAGACTGAGACTCCATCTCAACAAAACAAAACAAAAAGTGGGTGGGGCCTTCCGGGCAGGGGTCTGCCTGGGCCTGGGCTCCAGGCCTCGGCAGAGGGCAGCTGTGTCCCAGTGGTGACATCTGGGCTGCTGCTGCTACAAGCAGGAGGCGGACAGGGTGGCTCAGTTGCCATAGCAACATGAGGGGAAGTGACTCCGGATGGACTGGGAGGGAGCTGTAGCCCCCACGCCCGGCATTTTCCAGCGGGGCCCGGCTCGCTTCACGTTCTCGTTTGTACCAACTGTGGGGAGCAGGCCCTGCTTTGTGGAGGCACTGCCCCCCACCTTCCACTGTCCACCTCAGGTTCGCTGACCAGTTCCTGGGGTGAGGAGGGGGCACTGACCTCCGCTGTGGTTGGTGAGTGAGGACCCCCAGGCCGTCCCCTCCAGGGCCTCCTGGCCATGTGAGCACTGCCTGCCCCACCTGGGCATGAGTGCTGCAGCCCAGGCCACCGGCCCCTCCTCTGTCAGGGTGATGAAGACCAACAGGCCTTTCGTACCCAGGCTTCTCTGTGGTCCGGGATGTCAGGGTTCTGGCCTTTCGTACCCAGGCTCCTCTGTGGTCCGGGATGGCAGGGTTCTGGCCTTTCGTACCCAGGCTCCTCTGTGGTCCGGGATGGCAGGGTTCTGGCCTTTCGTACCCAGGCTCCTCTGTGGTCCGGGATGTCAGGGTTCTGGCGAGTTTTTACCTCCTGCATAGGAGAGCTGGGTACCTGGCATCTGTCCTGGCCCCAGAGTGGGCACAGGGGCTGGGGGAGCTGAGCGCTGTGACCCAGATCTTGGTCCTCTTGGTGCAGCCCCAGGAGACAGGTGCCTCCCCCTGTGCTGTCATGGGGAGAGGTGTTGGGGGGCGAGTGCAGCAACCACCTCCCTCTCCAGTGAGACCCCAGGAGCCCCTGGCTGGACCCCCGGCTCCGGGTGGGCACCAGCCCCGCCTTTGATGGCATCCGCTACCTCCTACCTGAAGCCGCCCTGTAGGGCGTGCAGGGACTTAGCTGGTCACCCAGCAGGTGTGTGGACAGGAGCCCAGTGCCATCCAGGCTGTGGGTGAGCCCCCAGGCCTCTGCCCTACCTCTTCCCGCCCACCCCCTGCCTGCCGTGGCCTCTGTGGTGCACGGAGGATGGAGTGGGTGACCTGAGGCTGCGGGCCGTGCTCTCTGCTGTAGGTCACCCACCATGTCGACCTTGCTGGACATTAAGAGCAGCGTGCTCAGGCAGGTGCAGGTGTGCCCGTCCTTCCGCCGCAGGACTGAGCAGGAACCAGGGAGTGCCAGCGCCGACCCACAGGAGCCTGCCACGGGGGCCTGGTGGGTGCTCAGGGGCCCAGCCCCACACGCTCACAGGGTCACTCCCCACCAGACTTCACACACGGCCACCCTGGCCCCAGCCCACCTAGGTGCAAAGGAGGGCCTGCACTCAGCCGTGCCACACTGTGGAGGTCACATGGCCCTGTCTGCCCCTGGAGTTGAGGGTCCCAGGCAGGGGCCAGTGTGCTGAGAGCCTCGAGCTGACCCAGCCCTTCCTCCAGGAAACCTGGGGACGGCGTGGAGTTCTTTGCCCACATGCGCCTCATGCTGAAGAAGGGGGAAGGCAGACAGGGCCTGCCGTGCCCCGAGGTGAGGGTGCCGCCCGCAGGTCCCGGTACTGCAGCCCAGCATGGGGCTTCCCCCTCCTCTCTCTCCTTCCCCCTCCCCCCTGCCCTCGCTCCCACCTCCTGGGGCACCACTTGTCCTCCCAGCCGCAGGCCTAGGGCTCTCCCTGTGATCAAGGCCCTCACCCTGGGCCCCACACACAGGTCCCCCTGCGCAGTGGCTCACCGGCACCCCCAGAGCCTGTGGATCCCAGCCGTGGCCTGAGAGCCCTGGCCCCGGAGGAGGTAAAGGTGGGGGCCGGAATCAGGGGCAGTTGTCTGCAGTGGCCGCTCTCTCAGCCGTTTATAGGCAGATACTGTGTGCACAGGGTCTGGTGATGGTGGACAGCCAGGGTGGGTGGGTGAGTGAGGAGCGGAGGGGCTCCCAGTGCAGGGCGGCAGAGGTGGGGCCTGGGCTCGGCAGGCAGGAGGGGCTGCTGAGGGCTGGGGGCCTGGGACGTGGCACTGTGGCTGCCCTTCCCCCACCTGCAGGTGGACATGCTCTATGAGGAGGCCCTGTACACAGTGCTTTACCGAGCGGGGACCATGGGCCCTGACCAGGTGGATGACGAGGAGGCCCTGCTCAGCTACCTCCAGCAGGTCAGCCCACCTGGACCCCGACAGCTTCCCCACCTCAACCCCTTCCCGACCCACTGACACCATGATCACCCAAACAGCAGGATCTCCCCGATCCATGCACAACAGGCAGAGATGGCTGAGGGTGCACACAGACACACACACATACAGGCTGACAGATGCACCCCCAAGGACGCACCTGGCTTCCACCTGAGTGTGCTCTGAACTCCCCCGTCCCCTTGTGGCCCCCGCTCCTGCACATGCACTCGTGTGCCCCTCATCACGCCGACCATCTCCGGGCATGCCCGGGCCCCTTGGCACAAGGCCTCCGCCGCTCCCTCCCAGGCTTCCCCCAACCCTGCACCCGTGAGGACTGAGGTCGGGTGTCTGTGACTGGGGCTGAGCCCGAGGTCCCAGCATGGTGGCAGCCTCGCTTCAGGGGTTGCCTAGGTCCTGCCAACCCACCCGCCCTCCACAGGTGTTTGGCACCAGCACTGAGGAGCACACCGAGGCCATCGAGCGAGTGAGGAAGGCCAAGGTGAGGCCGCCGCTGCCTGGGCAGACCCTGACCAGCATGTGCCTGTGTGGCGGGGGCACAGGGCAAGGCCCTGTCACCTCCATGCTAAGCAGGGTGTCTGGGGGGCAGCTCAGCCTCATCAGCCTCCCACACCCCTCTGTCCACAGGCCCCCACGTATGCCTTGAAAGTCTCTGTCATGCGTGCCAAGAACCTTCTGGCCAAGGACCCCAATGGTGCGTGGGGACCCAGCGGACCTCGGCTGCACCCAGGCCTGGCAACCGTGGAGGGCAGAGGGTGTGGGGCTGGGGCTGAGGCGCCTACTGTTCCCAGGCTTCAGTGACCCATACTGCATGCTGGGCATCCTGCCTGCCTCGGACACCACGCGGGAGCCCCGTGCACAGAAAGAGCAGCGCTTTGGCTTCCGCAAGGGCAGCAAGCGCGGTGGTCCCCTGCCCGCCAAGTGCATCCAGGTCACCGAGGTGAAGAGCAGCACGCTGAACCCCGTCTGGAAGGAGCACTTCCTCTTGTGAGGCCCTCGCCCATCTAGGTGTGGGAGGGGGGCTCTGCCTGGGGTCCAGAGTTGGGCTGTGCCTGGAGGGGGGTGGCTCGCAGCGGCTCCCGGTCTCTGTGGGGCCCTGTGGCCACTTTCCAGAGGAGGAAACTGAGACCCAGAGATGGGCGTTGTGCCACCGGGGCCACACGGCTGGCGACACGTGGCGGGATCGGGATTTGGACCTGAACAGCCTGTCTGGAGAGCTGGAGCTTGTGGCCTGCTCCCTGCTGCTTCTGAACTCCCTGACCCCGGCCTGGGCAGAGCCTCGCCAGGGACCCTCATGGGCATCTCTCTGTTCTCCATGTAGTGAGATTGAGGACGTGAGCACGGACCAGCTGCATCTGGACATCTGGTACAGGCCCCTGCACCGTGCAGGGCGGGGGGAATGGGCACCTTTTGGGAGGGAGCAGGATGAACTCAGGGCTGGGCTGGGGGCTCCAGACAAGCCAGGTCCTCTCCTCTCCCCACCAGGGATCATGACGACGACGTGTCCCTGGTAGAAGCATGTAGGAAGCTGAATGAAGTCATCGGCCTGAAGGGCATGGGCAGGTATGACTGCGGGGACCTTTCTACCCCTCACCTGTGCCCTCAGCTTGGTCACGGGGCCCAGCGGGCGGTGGCTCCCCAGGAGCCTCAGCGTGATGCCCACCACCGCGCTGGCCAGGTACTTCAAACAGATCGTCAAGTCAGCCCGTGCAAATGGGACAGCAGGACCCACCGAGGACCACACTGATGACTTCCTGGGGTGCCTCAACATACCTGTCCGGGTGAGTAGGTGTGGGGTGGGGCTGGTGACGCTTAGGGAAGGGCCTGGGGGGTGTCCCAGTCTTCAAGGGGCAGGGCATTGCCTGGAGGAGCTCCTGCTCTTGGGCCTCCGCTGAGTGCTCACCGTTGCCTGACACCCTCGTTCCCCGGAGAAGGGCAGCCCAGGCCATGTGGTCTCTCCAGGGTCTCACAGAGTCAGTGTGGAAGGAGAGGGGGAGGAGTCTGGTGGGCCTGACCCCCATGCTACCCCCAGGAGGTGCCTGTGGCTGGCGTCGACCGCTGGTTCAAGCTGGAGCCACGCTCTAGTGCCTCGCGTGTGGAAGGAGACTGCCACCTGGTTCTTAAGCTGATCACTACGCAGGTGGGGAAAGTGGGCGTCTCGGTCTTCCACCCTCGCCCGCGGGGCTGGGGCAGAGCTGGTGACCCGGGGGGCTCTGCGCAGAGAGACACCGCCATGAGCCAGCGCGGGCGATCCGGCTTCCTGTCCCACCTGCTGCTGCTCAGCCATCTGCTGCGGTTCGAGCACCCAGCAGAGGAGGTAGTGGGTGCTCCTGGGATTGGGACAGCCCGGCAGGGGGCCTGAGGAGGGGATGTGGGGCTGTCCCGCCTCCACCCACGCCAGACCTCCTCCCCCAGCCCAACTCCAGCAGCTGGCGAGGAGAGCTCAGCACACCAGCCGCCACCATCCTCTGCCTGCACGGAGCCCAGAGCAACCTGTCACCCTTGCAGCTGGCCGTGCTGTGAGTGGGTGGAGCTACGAGTGGGTGGGGAATGTGGGCGGGACGTGGGTGGGTGGGGCATTGGGGACCATGCGGTGAGTGGATGTGGTGGTTGGGATGGTGGGTCAGGGAAAGGGGCGGTGATATGAGTAGGTGGGGCAGCGAGAGGGGCGGTGCTATGAGTAGGTGAGGCAGCGCTGATTGGGTGGGCAGGGAAAGAGGCGGTGCTATGAGTAGGTGGGGCAGCGCTGATTGGGTGGGCAGGGAAAGAGGCGGTGCTATGAGTAGGTGGGGCAGCGCTGATTGGGTGGGCAGGGAAAGTAGCTGCTATGAGTAGGTGGGGCAGCGAGAGGGGCGGTGCTATGAGTAGGTGCAGCAGCGCTAATTGGAGGGCAGGGAAAGGGGCGGTGCTATGAGTAGGCACGGCAGTGCTGATTGGGTGGGGCCGAGAAAGGGGTAGTGCTGTAGGTGGTGCTGAGTGGGCGTGGCAGGGGCGGGGTCCATATCCCTTGACCATGGGCTGGGCCCCGCAGGCACTGGCAGGTCAGCAGCCGCCACCATCAAACCTGCACGCTGGACTACAGCTACCTGCTGGGGCTGCTGGACGACATGCAGGCACACTGGGAGGAAGCGCCCTCACTGCCCCAGGAGCAGGTGGGTGCAGCCGGGGCCTTCTTGCCAGCCATGGCGAAGGGAGTGCTTGGGACTGGGGCTGCTGAGTGCCGGTCGGCGAGGGGCAGAGTCCTGCCTGCGTGGGGGTCAAAGACAAACAAACTGTATGACATGGACTAGAGCCAGCGCTCTGCGGAAAGGAGACGGGAGGCTCGTGGAAGTCACCTCGGGGAGCAGCCAGGACTTAGGACAGAGTTGGGGAAGGCCGCCAAGGTGGCGCCCATCTGAGCGACAGGAGGGAGCGGCCTTTGCAGGATGGACGTGGGAACTGCAGGGGCACAGGCCCTGCGTGTGCTGCGTGGGTGGAAACAGAGGCTGAGACAGGCCGGCTGTGCCCGTGGAGGGTGCTTCTCAGGGCAGAGCTGAGCTGACCATGCGGGGGGAAGCGGGTTGCGGGCCGAGAAAGGGAGGGTGTTTCTCCTCATCAGTGAGCGGTCGGGGCTGCTGGCACTGAAGGGCCCTGTCCCCACAGGAGGAGGGCCTCGCTGATAGCTTTTCCGCCTTCTCTGAGTTCGGGCTGCAGCTGCTGCGCCAGCTCCGCGACTACTTCCCCGCCACCAACAGCACCGCTGTCTACCGCCTGGAGCTGCTGCTGAAGTGGGTGCAGCCCCGCGTGTCGGCGTGGGTGGGGGCGGCTGGCAGGGCAGGCCCCACTCAGCGTGCTGCCCCCACCCAGGTGTCTGGGCAAGCTGCAGTTCTTCCAGCCCTCCTTTGAGATCTGCCCCTTCGAGACGGAGCTGAATATGGACGTTGCTGCGGCCCTGAAGGTGTGTTCCAAAGCCCATTGGGGGCCGGCCGCTAGGCCCTCCCCTCCCCTGCCCTGCCTTCCCGTCCCGTGCACCTCTGCACCACGGTCTCTTGCCCACCTCTCCCTCTTCCCTGTAAACCCCCATGCTGTCTTGGTGGCGTCTGTTGCAGAGAGGCAACCGTGAGTGGTATGACAGGATCCTGAATGCCAGGAGTCCCCGAGAGCAGGTGCGGTTGTGGGGGACCCTGGCCGTGAGGGGTGCGGGCAGCCGAGAGGTGGGTACGAGCTAGGCTTCCTTACAGCCAGGACCACAGCGCCTGCCTGGGCTGGTTGTGCTGGCCGACGCCATCTATGATGACCTTCAGTCCTGCTACAGTGTCTATGCCAGCCTCTTCCACAGGTGGGCCTGGCCTCTCAGGGCTGTTCTGGGGCTGGGGTTGGGGCCAACAGAGCCTGCAGGGAGGGCGCAGGTGGATGAGGTATGTCCCTTCCTCTGCAGCATCCTCAATGTGGACGTCTTCACCCTGACCTTCCGGCAGCTGGAGCGTCTGGTGAGCAGGGTCCCTGACCCCGGGTACCTGCCAGGCATGGGGAAGTGGGCAGAGGCCCTTGACTAGGTTGCTGCAGGTGGCCTGATTCTCCTGTCCTGGACAGGTGGCTGAGGAGGCGTGGGTGCTGACAGAGGAGCTGAGCCCCAAGATGACGCTGGAGGTGGCCTCGGGGCTCTTTGAGCTATACCTGACCCTGGCTGACCTCCAGCACTTCTGGGATAGCATCCCTGGCCGGTGGGTGCCCCGTCCCTATCTCTTGCAGACAGACTTTTGGATGAGGGCCCCCGGACCTGTGAGGGGGGCTCTCCTGGGGCTATTAGTCTGGAACGTGCTAGTTAAGGCATCTGAGTCAGGGCCAAGCCCTGACCCGCCTCCCACTACAGGGACAGCCGTTCTCTGGCCTTGGCTGGCATCCACACCCCATTCCTGCCTGCTGTGAAGCTCTGGCTCCAAGTGCTGCGGGACCAGGCCAAGTGGAGGCTTCAGGGAGCAGTGGACGTGGATACAGTGAGAGCTGCCCTGGCCCGAGGACACTGGGGCTGGTCCAGGCCCCCAGCCTCCCCCACAACCCTAGCCTCCCCCACCTCCCCATCCTCCCCCACAACCCTAGGCTCACCCGCCTCCCCAGCCTCCCCAGCAACCCCAGCCTCCCCTGTCTCCCCAGCTGGAACCTGTGGACCCTTCCTCCAGGCACAGCAGCTCCGCAGCCACTGCTGGTCTCTGCCTCAGTCACATCCAGGAGCTGTGGGTGCGCCTGGCGTGGCCTGACCCTGCCCAGGCTCAGGGGCTGGGCACCCAGCTTGGCCAGGTGTGTGGGTGGGCCCTGGGGGTGAGGGGAACAGGTGGGGGAGGTGATGGGGCAGGGGAGGGTTCCATGGTTCCCCACCACCGCCCCCTCCTCAGGACATGTGTGAGGCCACCCTCTTCTACACGGAGCTGCTTCGGAAGAAGGTGGACACTCAGCCAGGGGCGGCCGGTGAAGCAGTGAGCGAGGCGGTGAGTGGCCAGCTGGGGAGGGGAGTCGGCAGGAGGTGGGGAGCCATCACCAGGCCCTGACCCATCGCCGCCTGACCACACCTCCCCCAGCTCTGCGTGGTCCTCAACAATGTGGAGCTCGTGCGCAAGGCTGCTGGGCAGGCCCTGAAGGGGCTGGCATGGCCCGAGGGGGCCCCGGGACTCGAGGGGGTGCTCCCCCGCCCCCTGCTCAGCTGCACACAGGCCCTGGACGATGACCTGCAGCGGGAGGCTCACACGGTGACAGCGCACCTGACCTCCAAGGTGGGTGGGGCCTAGAGACCGGAGCGTGGGGACAGTCCCTGGTGCCCCCTGCCCATGCTGAGCGCTGCTCCTGCCCTCAGATGGTGGGCGACATCCGGAAGTATGTACAGCACATTAGCCTCTCACCCGACTCCATCCAGAACGATGAGGTGAGTGCTGGGGCGAGGGGCCGTGGACGGGACTGTGTGTGCTGGGAGCAGGGCAGAGGTGCGGGGGTCAGCCCGGCCTGAACACCCCTGCCTGCAGGCCGTGGCCCCGCTCATGAAGTACCTGGATGAGAAGCTGGCCCTGCTGAACTCCTCGCTGGTGAAGGGGAATCTAAGCAGGTGCGGGCAGGTGGGGTGGGATGGACTGGCCCGTGGTCACTGATGCCGCCCTGCAGGGTGCTGGAGACCCTGTGGGAGCTGCTCCTCCAGGCCATTCTGCGGGTGGGGCCAGCGGGGCAGGTGCGGCTGGCCCGTGGTCACTGATGCCGCCCTGCAGGGTGCTGGAGGCCCTGTGGGAGCTGCTCCTCCAGGCCATTCTGCAGGCGCTGGGTGCAAACCGTGATGTCTCTGCTGATTTCTACAGTCGTTTCCACTTCACGCTGGAGGTAGAGCCCCGAGAAGGAACGTTTCCCGCCGGCCCCCGCCTCAGGGCTGCTCTGACCCCTCCCTTTATCCCCACTGGCTCAGCAGCCACTCCAGGGCTGTCCACGGCGCCACCTCCCGTTAATGCCAAGGTGTGACCTCTGGTGATGGCCTTTCCCCAGCTTTCCTGGGAGCTTCCGACGCCCCCCAGGGTGTGAGAAAGGGCTCTGCCCTGGACTGCTGAGCCCCCAGTGCTGCCTGGGCTCCTTTGTGCTGGGGGTCTCCACCTGTCCCCAGCACAAGCCAGGCTCCCTGACACCTCCACCTTCTTTCCCTGCCCCAGGCCCTGGTCACTTTTTTCCACGCAGACGGTCAGGGTTTGCCCCTGGAGAGCCTGAGGGATGGAAGCTATAAGGTGAGGCGGGACCCTCTGTGCGGCGGGGGCGTGGATGAGGGGACCGAGTTCAAACTGCAGCCCCGCACAGGCTGTGTCCTTGAGCATGAGGTGGCCCCACGGGCAGTCAGGTCTCCCAAGTGCCAGCGCTGACTACCAGCACCCAGGGGCCCCTCCTGACGCGCTTCCCTTGCAGAGGCTGAAGGAGGAGCTGCGGCTGCACAAATGTTCCACCCGTGAATGCATTGAGCAGTTCTACCTGGACAAGCTCAAACAGGTAGGGAGGCGCCCGGGACAGGGTGCTGCCTCTAAGGCTCCCCGAGCCCAGCTGCGCTCACCCGCCTTTCTGCAGAGGACCCTGGAGCAGAACCGGTTTGGACGCCTGAGCGTCCGTTGCCATTACGAGGCGGCTGAGCAGCGGCTGGCTGTGGAGGTGCTGCACGCCGCCGACCTGCTCCCCCTGGACGCCAACGGTGAGCTGCAGCGGGGACGGGTCGGGTGATGGTAGGATGGGGACGGGGGGCTCATGACCGTGCTCCTGCAGGCCTAAGCGACCCCTTTGTGATCGTGGAGCTGGGCCCACCGCATCTCTTCCCACTGGTCCGCAGCCAGAGGACCCAGGTGAAGACCCGGACGTTGCACCCTGTATACGACGAGCTCTTCTACTTGTGAGTGTCCCAAGCCCCAGCCCCGGGCTCCAGGCTGCGGGAGTGAGACTCCCCTGACTGGCCTCCGTCCGCAGCTCCGTGCCTGCCGAGGCGTGCCGCCGCCGCGGGGCCTGTGTGCTGTTCACCGTCATGGACCACGACTGGCTGTCCACCAACGACTTCGCTGGGGAGGCGGCCCTCGGCCTAGGGGGCGTCAGTGGTGTCGCCCGGCCCCAGGTGGGCGGGGGTGCAAGGGCTGGGCAGCCTGTCACCCTGCACCTGTGCCGGCCCAGAGCCCAGGGTGAGTGAGCATCCGGGTGGGGGGAGGGGCAGCGGCCTGTCGCCGGCTCCCACACATCTGCCCACGCCCGCTTGCAGTGAGGTCTGCGCTGAGGATGCTGGAAGGCCGCACCAGCAAGGAGGCGCAGGAGTTCGTGAAGAAACTCAAGGAGCTGGAGAAGTGCATGGAGGCGGACCCCTGAGTCCGTCAGCTGCCAACCCCGGCCCTGGCCCCCACCCCGAGTTCCCTGAAGCATCTTCCAGCTCACTGTGGCCAGCTTTGTGCAGCCAGGGCCCACGGCGCCCCTCCTGTGCTGTGACGTGTGTGTCGTGGCTGGCCCCGTGGCTCCCATCGCCCTGGCCGTGTCCGTCTGGTGTGTGCTGTGAACCCCTGCACCCAACCCCACATCTGGGTGGCCAACTTGGCAGGACCTGGCCAGAAGCTGCCTGGGACACAGTGCAGGCCGCAGTGGGCTTGGCCACCAGGTGCGCTTCCCTGCCCGCTTCCTTGGGCTCCCTGGCCCTGGGTGGGCGGTGGGCAGCTGGTCTCCAGGGACTCAGTGAGTGGCTGTGCTCCCTGCACGACGGGCAATGTGCAGAGGCATTTTTTGGTAGTCACAGCTGGGGAGGGCACAGGGTGCCACTGGCACCATTGGGTGGAGCGTCCAGAGCCTCCACTCACAGAGGGATGCAGAGGGCAGGTGAGTCAAGAACCGCACAGATCTTCAGTCCCCACGGGGCTCGCAGGGCAGGGACGTCACCCAAGACCGGTGGTCAGTGTGAAGGGCTCCATGCCAACTGGCAGGGTGTCCTTCACACACATATCTGTGGCCACCCGAGACCTGCTCCACAGCCCCGCCAGGCAGAGCCAAGAGTTCGCCCCAACCCTTCCCCAGGCCCAGGGTGAAAAACAGAGACTCACACGCGGCTTCCTGGCCTGCAGCTTCATTGCGAGCGCGCTGAGGCAGGATGCAGAGCACAGCTGTGCTGGAAATGCAGAGAGAACCCGGACAGCTCAGTCCTGCCAGCAGCCACGAGGAGCCGAGACTGCCAGGCCCATCTACGTCCCTCGTGTCTCTAGATCTTCTTGTTACCCAGCCTCAAATATATACGTGTCTGCAACCCTCAGTCTCTCTGCCGCTTCTTGATTCCTTTCCAAACCTCGGCCGGGGCCCTGGCTTCAGCCCCCTGTCCCTGAGTCTGCTCCTCGTCAGAGCAGCTGCTGCTGGTTCCTCCGTGCTCGGCACCAGGCCTCGGGTCCTCAGACGCATCACTGTCATCAGTGTCCGAGGGCAGCCTGGGAGGGGAGGGGGAGCACGTTCCCAAATGACATCCTCCCTGGCTAGCTGGAGGCAACCTCATCCACAAAAAGCCGCAAGCCCGGGACAGATTCCTCTCCATGTACTCTCCAAACCCAACCTCTCCAGTGGGATGTCCACTTCAGGTTTTCTAGTCAGACCATCGGGGTGTTTACGACACCACCCCCAGGCAGCAGGAGGGGCTCAGGCCAGAGGTAGAGGAGAGCCCTGGGTCTGAGTGATCATGAAATTAAGAAGCCCAAGGACCTACCGGGTGCTGGCCACAGGCCTGTTGGGGTTTCCAGACTCTCTCCCTGAATCCACATCGAAGGGATCTGAGCCGAGAGAGGAAAGTGGTCTGTAAGTGAGCTCAGAGCAGGACCAGGCCTCCCACCACCCAGGCTTTGGAGGGCCTTGGCTCCCAGCCCCGCCAGGGCTCACCAATCTCCTCCTCCTGGGGGCTCTCCTTGGCGCTGGCTAAGAACTCCTGTTCCGCCTGCAGCACCTCCTCCGAGCCGCCGCAGGCCGCGTACTTGTCCAGGAGCTGGCGGTTCAGGTCCAAGAAGCCCTTGCCCCATTTAAACTTCCGAAGCAAAATGACAGCGAGGTCCGGAAAGCCTGATGGTGTGACCAACAAGAAACCCAAAGAAGTAAATGGTCCCCTTGAGTGCGTCCTGATCACCTGCTGCCGGATGGCTCTCCCACGTAACTGCAGGGTCCTCACCAAACATTAGCTCACAGTCCTGAGAGCCCGAGCTGCCCCCAGCCCCAGCCTGCACCTCCCCTGCTACAGTCCACACCTCTGCAACCGACCGAGTCCCCCTCCTTGTTGCGAAACGCAAACATTCCCACCAAGAGTGCCCCATGCCTCATCTGGGCTTCTTTAGATCAGCAATTCAGTAAGGAGGACATGGAGGATAAGCAGGATTCTCGGGGCAGTGCTGCCGTAATGAACGGCACCCCATACGCTGGCCTCTGTACCGCAGCGATCCCATTCCGCCTCCACTGCAACTCCACAGGCCGAAAACCAGAAGTGACAGTCGCAGCTGAAACCCTGGTCGGTCTGAACTGCTTCCCTGTCTGTCCCTTACGCTCCTCCAGGGCTGTGTCCGCAGGAAACACGATGCTGGGAGCACAGCAGGAACACCAGGTTGCCCGGTCACGCTGCTGTGGAGCCCCTGGACTCACCTACGATGCAGAAGGTGGCAGCAAAAGCTTCCACGCAGGAAAGTCTGCACGGCCGGCCATAATTTACGGGGTTGGCAGCCACCAGGTAGGGCAGCAGGCGCAAGTGGCTACCTCGCATCTTCCCAAATGGCGTCTCGTCCAGCCTGGCCCAGGAGCAGTCGATGACGGCGACCCCAGACTGCGCCACCAGCTGTCTGCCAGGGACAGCATGGGGTAAGTTCAGGAGCCAGTACTACCCAAAGTGAAGCATGTTCCTGGAGAATTTCTTCGCTAGGGATTCAGGGACATCATTCCGCCATCCCCAAATATCCTCAAACAGACTCCATGAGCAAGGTTTTGAGGCAGCTGTTTGGGGTACCTAGGGCATGCGTTTATTCACTGAACAAACGTTTATTATCCCAAAACCTCCTTTATCCTAAGCTCTGCGCTATGCAAAGCAGGCAAACTAGACAGACGTTCCCTGGCCACGTGGGTGTGGCTGTGGGTGTGACATACAAGTCCCACTAAACGATCCCTGAAAGGAACCACGCGCTGGAAATGACGAGCTAAGGCAGGCCTCCCGCGCCTACCTGTCTGCGGGGGACACGTACTGCTTGCCCACGGGGCTGAGCACCAGACCGCCGAACCTGTGGCCCAGGCGCAGGCATCGCACCAGCCCCAGGCGGGCCAGCTTGCGGCCGGTGCAGCGTCGGGGGTCGCAGTGGCCCAACTCCCACATGGCCAGCGTGCAGGGCAGCGCCGCTGGGCCCGGGCCGCCCTCGCCCTCAGCCGTCCCTGGCTCCACGGAAGCTGCACGAGAGAGAGAGAAGGGCACTCGGCCTCAGCGTAGGATCCCCGGGCAGGCCCTCGAACCCCGACCCGCTCTCCCCATCACGCCTCGCTCACCTTGCAGTGCGGCGCCGATCTCCTCGGCGAAGGCCTCCAGGGAGCGGGTCCGGAGGTGCCGAGGGCGGCCGCCTTCCGCCCCCGGCCCGCGCGCTGCCCTCCTGCGGCCCATGGCGGGAATCCGAGGTGCCGAGTACTCCCCACCCCACGGGTACGCCCCTCAGCCTCTGGACGGGCCGTGTGGCTGCCAGCCCATGCGCGGGGCGCCACTTCCGGTTCCCGCGGTCACGTGACCGTCATTCCACGTGACCGCGCGGCGCTGCGGCGCGATGGCGGCGGGGCTGCTCCGGGTGCTGTTGTTCCTCGGGTTCTCGGCCCGCGGTGAGTGGCCCGGCCGCCCGCGTCCCCAGGCCCCGCGGCGCGCGCTCTGCATCCCGGCCTCCCCGCTCACGGTCTCGCTCCCCGTAGGCCCCGCGCCGGCAGGTGCCGCGAAGATGAAGGTGGTGGAGGAGCCCAACACGTTCGGGTGAGCAGCCTCGCGGCTGGCGGCTCGGGCAGGGGGACGGCCCGGGCCAGTTCCCCGCTGACCCTGCCGCTTCCCGTAGGGTGAACAACCCGTTCTTGCCCCAGGCCAGTCGCCTCCAGGCCAAGAGGGATCCTTCACCCGTGTCTGGTGAGTGAGGAGCGCTGCTGGCGGGCTCGGGGGTGACCGCGGGGGGCAGCAACAATGGAGGATGGGTGAGAGACCCTGAGAGTTACGGCCCGGAGTCTAAAGCATTGGTTTGTCAGCCTTCTAAAATAAGTGTGGACGTGCGAGAGAATATACCAGAACGTTCTTGTACCGAATTAAAAGTTATCTCCAGACTTAGTCCTTCCTTTTCTTTCCGAGAGGTAATTGCCGTTAATAGTCTGGTAACTTGGCAGAGGCGTTTCTGTGCTTTTACGTGCGTATCCATGCAGCCGGAAAACGTGTAGTTTTTGTAATCTTTGTCGCTTTTTTTAAAAAAATCATGCTGCGCGAGTATTTGGCTGATTTGTCCTTGTCACTCGCTGTATGTCTTGGGACGCTTCACGGTGGTGATATAGGTCTTCATTCTTTCTCTTGGTGCTCAGTACGCGATGGGATGGCGCTGCATTTCCCGATTGTATTTAGGTTCTTTACATTTTTTTTTTTTGGCCATTAGAAATAGTGCTGTGGAGAACATGCTGTGTAGGTGCCTTGGTTTGCCCTCAGGTGAGTGGTTTCCCAAGGCAGAATTCCAGAAGTGAAATTGTTGGGTCATGAGTATATATGCCTTTTAAACACTGAATGAGTATTAAATATAAGAGACAAAAATCCAAGGATTTTTTTTTTGAGACAGAGTCTCACTCTGTCTGCCCAGGCTGGAGTGCAGTGGCACGATCTCTGCTCACTGCAACCTCCACCTCCTGCGTTCAAGCAATCCTCATGCTTCAGCCTCCCGAGTCGCTGGGATTACAGGCATGCATCACCATCACGCCCAGCAAATTTTTGTATTTTTAGTAGAGACAGGGTTTATTTCACCGTATTGACCAGGTTGGTCTCAAACTCCTGACCTCAAGTGATCCGCCCATCTTGGCCTCGGAAAGTGCTGGGATTACAGGCGTGAGCCACCGTGCCCAGCCTCAATAATTTTATTATCGAATACTTTTATGTGTTAGGGTCTGTGCTGGGGTTGCAGAAACGAACACAGATACACCAATGCTTGTCCTCAGGGAGCTGACAGTCTCATGGGGAGTGATGGACGAACAGGCACTGAACAAAGAATTAGGTAAAATACATAGAATGGTCAATGATGAAAAATGCCATGTAGATATGTGAAGCAGAGGAGGGAGTATGTGTGTTAGAGTATTGTTTGGGGGATCGCTTTTTTTTTTATTTTTAGAGACGGGGTCTTGCTCTCTCACTCGGGCTGGAGTGCAGTAGTGCATTCATAGCTCACTGCATCCTTGAACTCCTGGGCTGAAGCAACCACCGACCCTCAGCTTCCTGAGTAGCTGGGACCACAGGTGCATGCCACCATGCCTGGCAAATTTTACGTGTTTTTGTAGAGATGGAAGTCTCACTACGTTGCCCAGGCTGGCCCCAAACTCCCAGCCTCAAGCAATCCTCCTGCCTTGGCTGGGGACTGCTTTAAATAGGGTGCTGAGGAAAAGTCTAAGAAGTGACATTTCAGCCAAAAGCTAAAGGAGAAAAGGGAGTAAAGCTGTGCCTGTTTGGGGAAAGGGATTCAGGAAAGGGAGTGGCCAAAGGCCTTGCGCAGGAAAGCCCGTGCCAGAGGGGATCCAGCTGGGTAGCCACAGATGAGCGAGAAAGGGGATCAGGTGGAACCGCAGCTTGTTGGTAGGTTTCGTGGACTTTGACTCCAAACAGATCTTTTTTTTTTTTTTTTTTTTTTTTTTGAGACGGAGTCTCGCTCTGCCGCCCAGGCTGGAGTGCAGTGGCCGGATCTCAGCTCACTGCAAGCTCCGCCTCCCGGGTTTACACCATTCTCCTGCCTCAGCCTCCCGAGTAGCTGGGACTACAGGCGCCGCCACCTCGCCCGGCTAGTTTTTTGTATTTTTTAAAGTAGAGACGGGGTTTCACCGTGTCAGCCAGGATGGTCTCGATCTCCTGACCTCGTGATCCGCCCGTCTCGGCCTCCCAAAGTGCTGGGATTACAGGCTTGAGCCACCGCGCCCGGCCCAAACAGATCTTTTTAAGGTTTTTGTTGTGTGGCTGGGCATGATGGCGCACGTGGGGTTAGGCTCATTTCCCTGAGGCTCAGAGCCATGGGATGTGGCTTCCCAGGGCCTGAAGTGCTGGAGTCGGGCCAACACCTGTCCCAAGAAGCTGGGGAGGAGGCAGGCCGCTGTGTAAGAGCAGTTCCCGACCGAACCCTTTCCAGTAGGAGAAAGGCAGCCTTGGCTAAGGGGACCACATCTTTTCGGAGGTGAGAGTCCTGGAAAGAAAACAGAATATGCTGGTTGTGGTGGTATGTGCTTGCTGCTCAGGAGGGACGCTGAGGTGTGAGGATCGCTTGAGCCCAGGAGTTCAAGACCAACCTGGCCAACATGGTGAAACCCTGTCTCTACTAAAAAAACACAGAAACAAAAATTAGCCGGGCGTAGCGGTGTCCACCTGTAATCCCAGCTACTTGGGAGGCCGAGGCTGGAGAATCGCTTGAACCCAGGAGGTGGAGGTTGCAGTGAGCTGAGATTACGCCACTGCACTCCAGCCTGGGTGACAGGGCAAGACTTCGTCTCAAAAAAATAACAAAAAACTTAAAAAATTTAAAAAGACTGCCTTTTTTAGTGTTCCCCACCCCCATCCCCACACCTGGGCCCATCAGGGTTCACAGGTGCATTTGGTTAATCATGTCTCTTTAGTGTTTTAATCTGGAGCAGTTCTCGTCCCACCTTTGGATCCAAGTGGCATGTTTGTTTTCCTGTTTCCCAGTCTTTTTGTTGATAGTGTTTTTCTCCAGACCATTTTTTCCTGCATCTGTGGGGTTGGGCGCGGATAGTCTCCCACGTCCGTGGGATCGGGCACGGATATTCTAAGTGTTTTTTGTCTTTGATGTGGCACTCCTTCAGCATCAGCGTGTGAAACAGATTGTGCGCAGTGGGTAGGAGAGTGTGGTCTGTGGAAGGAGCAGAGCAGAAAGATAATCGGGCTGAGAAACTCGGGCGTGGTGAGTGCAGCCTAGGGCTCAGAAGGTCCCGGCAGAAGAGCCTCTGCCAAAGAGAAGGAAGGGGTGGGTTTGCCAGGGCCGAGGCTGGTGGGGCGGGGCTGGGCTGGGCAGTGGGCACCTCCATGGCCTGGGCCTCCACCGGATGAGTCAGGAGTCTCGTCCCCTGACAGCAGGAGCAGCAGAGGTTGGTAGGTCTGTGATTTAGAGACAGTATCCTGCTGTGGCATGGACAGGGGATGGGGCATGGTCAGGGTGGTGGTCCTGCCACAGCCCAGCACACTGTCCAGGAGGGAGCTCTGCCTCAGTGGCAGTGGGAAGGAGCAGCCAGCTGGGCAGGACTCTGGGGCCCTGGCAGGGGCCTGGATCTGGGGAGAGGTTGGGGAGGAGCAGAGTGGCCCCAGGATCCTGGCTAGAGAAGCCATGGAAAGTGGACTGCAGGGGTCAGGCTGGGAGCTTGCTTTTGGTTGGGGCCAGGCTGGGTCTATGAGGCAGTTCTGGTGCTTGGAGAGGGGTCATGGTGGGCACAGGACTCATTAGTGGGGGTGCGTGAGGTCCAAGGGTGAGGGTGAGGTCCCTGGGGAAGTTCTTGGTGGGGTGTGGGGGTTGTGGAAGTTAGGAGGGCACTGGGACCAGGTGTGGGGCTAGGCCAGGGAGCACAGTGGGAGGGAGGACCCCCTCGAGAAGGGACTGTCACCAAGAGATGCAGCCCTGGAGGACTGCTTCCCGCTGAAGCTTGACCAGGGGCAGACGGAAATGAGGGAGTCTAGGCTCAGCCAAGCTGATGGGGCCTTGAGGAGCTGTGGCCTCGGGCGCAGGGCCTGGTGGTAAGGCCACCTGGGCCCGCAGGAGCCAAAGGAACTGTCGAGTGTCCTGGCCATGCAGACTGTGAGCATGGAGCCTGCAGGTGACGTGCGGGCAAATGAGGAGCAGAGGAGGAGCCTGCCGGCAGGGGTGATGGCATTTGGGGGTGGTGGTATTTGGGGGTGGAGACTCTGGCTCAGGTCTGGCTGTGTCTGGCTGAAGGAGCGGAGGGGCCGGACCCCACCCCTCTCAGGAGAGCAGGCTGCTGAGACCTGAGGGCCGGGCGGAGGGGAGGGGCCGTGGCTGGGGTTCTGGTGTGGGCCAGCAGCAGAGGACCCGGGGTACTGGGCACTGCCAGTTGGGGGCTTGTGGTACCATCCCCTGCAGGAGGCTGCACCCCAGCCCGTGGGAGCCCCCTGAAGCTGTGGACAGCTTCCGGGCAGAGGCTTCCTCCCCCAGCTGCAGAGCCAGGCCGGGGCCCGCCACCCTCACGCAGCCCTGTTTGGACGGATGGCCCTGCAGGTGCAGAGCTGAGCCTGGCGCCCACGCCCCTCCTGGGATGTCTCCAAGTCATGTCTGCCGGGGGTGAGCCTGGGAACGTGAGTTCCCAGGACACAGGAGCTTGACCAGCCACCCTCCCAGTGGGAGTCTATGAGTGGCAGATGGGCGAGGGACACGTCAGGGTCTCGGATGGCTCCAAAGGCTTCCCTGTGTGCCTGTTGGGCAGAGCCCTGGGGCCAGACTGGAGGGGCCGAGCCCCAGCACCCCAGGCTGTGGGACAGCAGGCATGACAGGGCTGAGGTGGAGCCCCCGGCGGTCAGGCTGGGAGGACAGTGGGTGAGCTTGGGAGTAGGGGCCACCCAGATGGTATCTGACGAGGAAGGACCAGGATCTTCCTATATCCACAGCCCCTGAGCAGGGCAGCCGGGCCATCTTGGTCTCCATCTGTCTTGGGAGGGGACAGCCGCAGGGGTGACTGGAACGTCAGGGAACAGAAGGCCAGGCCGGGCCAGCACCCTAGAGGTCTCAGTGGCATTAGTCTCTGCCCTCGGGGGGCGGAGGCCAGTCTGAGGGTGGCATCAGGCTCCTGGGTTGGCCAGGTTCCCAGGGAACAGTCACCCAGCACCTCGTGTGTATTTTGGCTTTATTATTATTTTTGAGACGGAGTCTTGCTCTGTCGCCCAGGCTGGAGTGCAGTGGCATGATCTCTGCTCACTGCAACCTCTGCCTCCCGGGTTCACACCATTCTCCTGCCTCAGCCTCCCAAGTAGCTGGGACTACAGGCATGTGCCACCACGCCTGGCTAATTTTTTTGTATTTTTAGTAGAGACGGGGTTTCACCGTGTTAGCCAGGATGGTCTCGATCTCCTGACCTCGTGATCTGCCCGCCTCGGCCTCCCAAAGTGCTGGGATTACAGGTGTGAGCCACCGTGCCCGGCCTTGACTTTATTAATACAGTAAAACTGCAGAGTTTAAAACATCAGTCTAACTGAGGCATCCTCTAACCAGTGCACTTGCTGCTGCAACGCAGGCCTGACAGGAGCCAGGGGCCAGGTGTCCTCCCCGCCTCCACAGCCCACGCCCCAGCCTTGCCCACAGCCCAGAGGATGGCCTCGTGGCTGACAGTCTCGGTGGGCGCCGGGACAGGTGCATACCCAGCCAGGTCCCGACTCCCCAGCGTGCCTGAAGAACGGGGTGGTTGCTGTGGCGTCTTTTACTGACAAGTTGCCACTGGCCTTGATTTGTACACGCCCTCGCTCTAGCACTGCCTGTGGCCGGCCTGGCTGGAGGGTCGGGACGCTGCACACCCTCCCTCTTCCCCTAGGGGCTGGTTACACTGCCCTGCAACTGTCAGCACCATCGTCTCCACGTCTCCACAACTTGCTCTGTCCCCTTCAAACCCTGGCTCCCCCAGCCCTGGCACCCACCATTCTGCTGGCTCCCCCGGCCCTGGCACCCACCATTCTGCCGTCTCCGAACTTGGCTGTTGCAGAGACGGCACACAGATGACCCGTAACTGCGCACGACCTTCTGTGTCTGACTGACTCCTCTTGGCACAGTGTCCCCGGGGTCCCCCAGGCTGGAGGCTCTCAGAGCCTCCTTCGTTTTTACGGCCGAGGACTGTCCCATGCGAGGAGAGACGACGTGTTTACCCGTCGTCTGGACACGGGCGTGGCTTCCAGCCCCTGGCTGGGAATAGGCTGCTGTGAACTTGGGCGTAAATACCGAGTCTCTGCTTCCAATTTCCGAGAGTAGCTTTGCTGGATCTTGTTAGAATTCCATGCTGAGCTTTTTGAGGAACCACCAAACTGTTTGCACGGTGGCTGCACCGTTTCCCGCTCCAGCCAGCGCTGCACAGAGGGTCCGGTTTCTCCACATTTTCACCAACACTTTGTTTTTTGCTAACAGCCGTCCTAATGCGCGTGAGGTGGCACCTCAGGGCTGTCTTAATTTGCACTTCCCTAGTTAATGCTGTGGGATCTTTTCAGTTGCTTATGGTCTGTTTGTATGTCCTTTTTTTTTTTTTTTTTTGAGATGGAGTCTCGCTCTGTAGCCCAGGCTGGAGTGCAGTGGTGCAACCTTGGCTCACTGAAACCTCCGCCTCCCAGGCTCAAGCAGTTCTCCTGCCTCAAGCCTCTCAAGTAGCTGGGATTACAGGCGTGCACCACCACACCAGGCTAATTTTTATTTAGTAGAGACAGGGTTTCTCCATGTTGACCAGGCTGGTCTCAAACTCCTGACCTCAGGTGATCCACCCGCCTTGGCCTCCCAGAGTGCTGGGATGACGGGCCCCTTTGCCCATTTTTAAACTGGGTTTATTGTAGGGCTGTGGTTCTTTATATATGCTGGATATGAATCCCTTACGTCTATGATTTGCCAGTGTTTGTTTTCTCCCATTCCGTGGGTCTTTTCACTCCCTTGATGGTTTTTTGTTTTGTTTTGTTTTTTCCATACAGAGTCTAAGTCTGTAGCCCAGGCTGGAGTGCAGTAGCACAATCTCAGCTCATGGCAACCTCTCCACCTCCCAGGGTCAAGCAGTTCTCCTAGGTCAGCCTCCTGAGTAGCTGGGACTACAGGCGTTTGCCATCACGCTCGGCTAATTTTTTGTATTTTATTAGAGACCAGGTTTCACCATGTTGGCCAGGATAGTCTCAATCTCCTGCCCTCGTGATCCGCCTGCCTTGGCCTCCCAGAGCGCTGGGATTACAGGCGTGAGCCACCGTGCCCTGCCTCTACGCCGGTCTTTATGCTAGTATCACACAGTTTTGATCATGACCGCTTTGAAGTAATTTTTGGAATCAGTAAGTGTGAGTCTTTCAACTCTGTTCTTTTTCAAGACCGTTCGAGGATTTGGGGGTCCTCTGAGACTCCCTATGAACTTTAGGATGTGTTTTTCTATTTCTGCAAAAAATGTCATTGGGATTTGGATGGCGTTGCATTGAATCTGCACATCACTATGCGTGGTAGTCATCTTAAAAATATTAAATCCATCAGGGCGGGCGTGGGGGCTCACGCCTGTAATCCCAGCACTTTAGGAGGCTGAGGCAGGTGGATCACCTGAGGTCAGGAGTTCAAGACCAGCCTGGCCAACATGGAGAAACCCTGTCTGTACAAAAATACAAAAATTAGCCAGCTGTGGTGGTGGGCATCTGTAATGCTAGCTACTGGGGAGGTTGAGGCGGGAAAACTGGTTGAACCCAGAGGTGGAGGTTGCAGAGAGCCGAGATCGTCCCATTGCACTCCAGCCTGGTGACAAGACTAGACTCCATCTCAAAATAAATAAATAAATAAAGGGTATGGATGTCTCCTGTCAGCCTTATGTAGTGGGTGGCAACGTTTGTACATGGATAATTGTGGTGTCTTGGCACATGGACCCTTGTGTCAATATATAACGTATTTGTCTCTTGTAGTTTCAGCCACTCCAGCTCTCTTTTGGCTATTTACATGAATACTTTTCCATACCTTCACTTTCAACCTGTTTATGTCTTTTTTTTTTTTTTTTTTTGAGACGGGGTCTCGCTCTGTCACCCAGGCTGGAGTGCAGTGGCCGGATCTCAGCTCACTGCAAGCTCCGCCTCCCGGGTTCACGCCATTCTCCTGCCTCAGCCTCCCGAGTAGCTGGGACTACAGGCGCCCGCCACCTCGCCCGGCTAGTTTTTTGTATTTTTTAGTAGAGACGGGGTTTCACCGGGTTAGCCAGGATGGTCTCGATCTCCTGACCTTGTGATCCACCCGTCTCGGCCTCCCAAAGTGCTGGGATTACAGGCTTGAGCCACCGCACCCGGCCTGTTTATGTCTTTAAAAGTTAGTTTTTCAGGCGGGGCGCAGTGGCTCACGCCTGTAATCCCAGCACTTGGGAGGCCAAGGTGGACGGATCTGGAGGTCCAGAGTTCAGACCAGCCTGGCCAACATAGTGAAACCCCATCTTTGCTGAAAATACAAAAATTAGCCGGGTGTGGTGGTGCGTGCCTGGAATCCCAGCTACTCGGGAGGCTGAGGCAGGGGAATCACTTGAACCCCGGAGGCAGAGGTTGCAATGAGCCGAGATCGTGCCATTGCACTTTAGCTTGGGTTACAGAATGAGACTGTGTCTCAAAAAGAAAAAAAAAACCTGATGCCTGATGAGGTGAGGTGGAACAGTTTCATCCCAAAACCACCCATCCCCACCCCTGGCTGATAGAAAAACTGCCTTCCATGAAACCAGTCCCTGCTGCCAAAAATATTGGGGACCACTGGTTTAAGTTCTGTAGATACACAGACCACAGCTAGAAAGGTACCTGGCATTTAATTTACCCCCGTACTAGGGCCCTTCGTCTCCTTCCAGCTGAGCTGCTGTCTTGTCTACTCACTTCCCCGCGGGGCACATGGGCCTGCAGGTAGCCAACTCCTGAAGCTTTTATCTGGGAATGTCTTTTTTTTGTTGTTTTTTGGAGACAGGGTCTTGCTCTGTCATGCAGGCTCTGGAGTGCAGTGGTACCATCTCAGCTCACTGCAACCTCCGCTTCCCGGGTTCAAGCAATTCTCCTGCCTCAGCCTCCCGAGTAGGTGGGAGTACAGGTACACACCACCACACCCAGCTAGTTTTTTGTGTGTGTTTTTAGTGTAGACATGGGGGTCTCGCATTGTTGCCCGTACTGGTCTCGTACTCCTGGCCTCAAGCGATCTTCCTGCCCTGGCCTCCCAAAGTGCTGAGATGACAGGTGTGAGCCACGATACCAAGCCTGAACTCTCATTTTTAAAGGGCTGTTAGAATTCTCGGTTTTGTCAGTTTCTTCCATTGAATGGGGCCTGTTTTCCTGTTTCTTTGAACATCTTGTGCTTTTTGTTAAAAACTGGTCCTTTGAAAACAGACTCTGCCAGTCTTTGCAAACAGGTTCTCTGCACGGAGCCTGGGGATCAGTGTGAGTCTCTTCCAGGGCCGGCGCATCTCTTCCGACTCTCGGGCAAGTGCTTCAGCCTGGTGGAGTCCACGTGAGTGCGGGGGGGTGCGATGGTGGGCTGGGGCGCAGCCTGGGGACCCCCCTCATGCCACCTGTGTCCCCAGGTACAAGTACGAGTTCTGCCCATTCCACAACGTGACCCAGCACGAGCAGACCTTCCGCTGGAACGCCTACAGCGGGGTCCTCGGGTGAGCGGGGCCGGGCCAGGGATCCCAAAGCAGCAGCGCGGCTCCCCCGCCCGGCCTCACGGGCCGTGCCCGTGTCCCCGCAGCATCTGGCACGAGTGGGAGATCGCCAACAACACCTTCACGGGCATGTGGATGAGGGATGGTGACGCTTGCCGTTCCCGGAGCCGGCAGAGCAAGGTGGGGCCTCAGACAGGAGCCCGGGACGAGGGGCCCCAGCCTCTGCAACACACCCACCGGCGTGCCCTCCCCAGGTGGAGCTGGCGTGTGGAAAAAGCAACCGGCTGGCCCACGTGTCCGAGCCGAGCACCTGTGTCTATGCACTGACGTTCGAGACCCCCCTTGTCTGCCACCCCCACGCCTTGCTAGGTAGGGGTGCGGGACGCAGTGGGGGCCGGTGGGGTCAGCCGTGCACATAGCCCTGCAGTGGTGGGGGCCAGGGTTGGGACATGGGGCACAACTGAGTCTGGCTTCTCTTGGGCCCTCAGTGTACCCGACCCTGCCAGAGGCCCTGCAGCGGCGGTGGGACCAGGTGGAGCAGGACCTGGCCGACGAGCTGATCACCGCCCAGGTAAGCATATGCTCGGGGTTGCCCCTGGCGGGCCCGGCTGGGAGCTGGGTGCTGCCCCTGCATCCTCCATCTTCAGGGCCATGAGAAGTTGCTGCGGACACTGTTTGAGGACGCGGGCTACTTCAAGGCCCCAGAAGAAAACGAACCCACCCAGCTGGAGGGAGGTCCTGACAGCTTGGGGCTGGAGACCCTGGAAAACTGCAGAAAGGTGCCGTACTTGGGGGAGGTGGCAGCACACAGTAGCCTCCCGCCCAGCCCCGCCCCCACCCCGGCCTTTCCCTTGAACTTCGTGTTGTAGGCTCATAAAGAACTGTCAAAGGAGATCAAAAGGCTCAAAGGTTTGCTCACCCAGCACGGCATCCCCTACGTGAGGCCCACAGGTAAGTCACCTGTGGGGAGGGGGCCAGGCCACCATCGTACCCACCACCTGTGGGTCCAGGTGAGGACCGGCCACCTGGTGTTTTCGCAGAAACTTCCAGCTTGGAGCACTTGGGCCACAAGACACCCAGAGCCAAGCCTCCAGAGCAGCTGCGGGGCGACCCAGGACTGCGTGGGAGTTTGTGACCCTATGGTGGGAAGGCAGAGGTGGACACGGCCGAGAGCCCTGGAGATTGGCTGGTAGGACCCCCAGGGACCAGCGGGCCAGGCTTGTGCTCAGAGAAGCAGACGAAACAAAGATTCAAGGTTTTAATTAATTCCCATACTGATAAAAATAATTCCATGAATTCTGTAAACCATTGCATAAATGCTATAATGTAAAAAAATTTAACAAGTGTTAATTTTAAACAGTTCACTACAAGTAAATGATTATAAATCCTACCTTCCGGGTTCCACTCAAACAACACTCTCATCTAAATAAACATACAGATCGAGGCTTCCAGAAATGAATCCACATGACGCGTCCACACGGAACAAGGTCTGCTGACCACAGTTACACACGTCACTGTTTCACGGCTAATGTTGAACACTAGAGTTACAGACGACAGGCAACAAGCACACACAGACCCGGCCACCACCCGGCTCCTATGCCCAGTGCCGGCCATGGCCACAGGTGGGAGCCACTGGGCCCGCCTCCACGGGGCACCTTCCAGCCACTGCTGTGTGCCTCGGCCACCGAGACGGGTGAGGAAGGCCCCAGGGCGGGCAGCCCCAGGGTCTTGCCTCCATTTCCAATCCTGGCAGCACTGCCAGCCATTCTTTGGTCTTCCCACTGCTCACCTGTCCTCAGAGCCAGTACAAATATGGGGGAGGAGGTGTCTCCGCCGTCCCCCAACCCCTGGGGCTCCCAGCTCTACCACCCCAGAAGCTGATCCATGGAGATGCCCTGAGGGGCAGCCGCCACGTTGTTCCCAGAAAGAGCAGAGCAGCCGGCAGACTAGCGCTCAGCTGCTCCCGACAACCGGGAGACGTCTGGGCAGACACCATATCCCAGAAAAGACCAGAGGCCCGAAATGGGAACCAAGTGCATAAATAATAAAAACAGAGGATTTTACACATTGATGACAGTAGCACAAAATATACGTAATTTCTAGATACTGAGCTAATAAATCATCACTATAATTAAAAACAAAATAGATTCACTAAAACCAAGTCGATAGTTACCTGGAGTAGTGGACTAGCTGCAGAATGTCACGGATCCACTTCCTTTAAAATGATAGAATGTTGCTATCAGTTTGTCTTACGTTAAAAAAGTTCTTAAACCTCCTACTATATTAAATACATTCTAATTTGGTCACTGATAAAAATGTTTTACCTAGACGTTTTGCACTTTTAAAAAATGCTATTAAAAGTCTTTGGCAAAGCCACGGGCAGGGAGGAACACGTCGATGCTGCTGCCTGCTCTTGTGCCCTCACAACCCACATGGCCCACAGAAAGCCAGGTCGCCGTAAATCACAGACGCCTGTTCCTGCTCCTCAACTCCTAGGGACAGTCCCAGCCCTGAGCAGAAGGGTTAGGTCATCGCGGGAACGCGTTCTCAGTCGCGTTTCTGCTGCGGCCGGAAGCCACTCTGTCGCTCCGGGGCAGACAGGCCAGGGGACGCAGCAGAGCCGGGACCTCGGGGGGCCACTTCCCCCGTGTGCTCCAGGCCACTAAGAGGCTGTGACTGGGTCCTGGTGTGACCTCGCTGGCCACATGGATGAGCTCCGATACTAACTGGCAGTACGGGTCAGGTGACTCTCCTACACCCCGCACCCTGGCGCACACCACGGCTCGAGCGTCTCTCACACAAGCAGGACGGGGGTGGCCACAGGGGCTGGGGAGCCAGCCACTCTCCCAGTTCACTGCCTGACCCCCACCAGGACGCCCAGCGATGTCTCCAAGGAGCTACAAAGCACCATTGCCTAGGACAGATATGAGTAATCAGAAGACAGCTTTTTTTTTTTTTTTTTTGAGCCAGAGTCTCACTCTGTCACCCAGGCTGGAGTGCAGTGGCATGATCCTGGCTCACTGCAACCTCTGCCTCCCGGGTTCAAGCGATCCTCCTACCTCAGCTCCCCGAGTAGCTGGGACTACAGGCGCCCGCCACCACGCCCGGCTAATTTTTGTATTTTTAGTAGAGACAGGGTTTCACCATGTTAGCCAGGATGGTCTCAAACTCCTGACCTTAGGTGATCCACCCGCCTCAGCCTCCCGAAGTGCTGGGATCACAGGCGTGAGTCACCGCGCCCGGCCAGAAGACAGCTCCTTAAAAAGGTAATTCTAAAACCTCTGATGTCTGATCCCTTCTGCTGCATTTTTCGTTAGTACCAAACTGTCTTTCAGAGATTCAAGGGAGAAAACAAAACCAATGATGTTCCTTCACTTGTTTAGCAAGGCACAGGCACATAGGAAAAGTGGCCACGGATCCCAGAAATGCAGGACGGAGCTCTCCTGCTCCCACGTCACGAGGCTGGAATATCAACCCTAGTGCCTTGTGCGCACAGGCTCGGGAAAACAAGCTCCTTCCATCGAGTTAAAAACATCTAAATCCATAATCACTCTGCTTATAAATACTATGCACTTAATGGGAAAATGTAAAAATCCTAGGTCTTACTACTAGATAAACGCTCATTTCATAAGTACTAGTTTCAGAATATGAAATCTAATATATTCAGCATACTATGAATTGACAATAAACTGATATGAAATATTTAAGTTCACAGTACACATATAAAGCTTCATATTATCGCATATTTAAAAAACAACATAAAAAGCAGCTTAGAGCAATTTATGACCTCTAAATTCCTCGGTTTACAAAGTGCTTTGAAAGACCCCAGCCCCCAGTGGTCCAGTCACAGGAGTGTCAGGACCACAAACTGCTGTGATCACAGCGCCACGCGGACCCCTGAGGCACCAGGCCCCTCGAGGACAGGCAGGCGGGTTCTGTGGGTTTGCCTTTAAGGTTTTTGAGGAAAATACCTTGAAACCGTCGGTAGGACTAGATAGGTGACAACGTGTGACAGGAAAGCTGTCCGGCCAAGCCCAGGCGGGGGCTCCCAGCCTCATGATAACGGCTGAGCGCGGGCGGGGCTCCCAGCCTCGGTCCTCACATCGGTGGCACCAGAGGTGAGTGACGATGTGTCTGTGGTTACAAGCACTGGAGCCAGGATGCCCAGCAGGAGGTGGCTGTCCCCGCTGAGGTCACCACCGCAGGGGCTGGCCCTTGCAGTAGGGGCACTCGGGTGCGGCGGCCGCACACGGCTCACAGAGGACGCGGTGCTGGCAGGGCCGCAGGACGGCACCGTGGGCCCGCTCCCGGCAGGCCACGCACTGCTTGGCGCGGAGCTGGAAGATCACCTGCAGGGCCAGAACGGTAACGGGTCAGGAGGCCCCTGCCCAGGCTGGACCAGCTGGGGAGCCGCAGGGCCTTCTGGGCAGGACTCGGCATCTCGGGCCACCCGGCCACCAGCTACAGAGACAGGGTCAGGGAGATGCCCCCTGCCAGGGCCACCTCAGGGAGAAGGCAGCTGCGGGGTGGCGGGAATGCTCTGTCTCGAGCCCTGGGCAGAGGACGGCCCCCGGGGCCACCACAGACACGGCAGTGGCCGGACAGGACGGGCCCCTGAGGGCCCTGGCTGCTGGGTGCCCAGGATGTGAGCTACGCAGGACACACTGGCCCAGAGCAGTTAGGCCGAGAGTCCACCCTTCACAGGCCAGGTGAGGAGAGACATGCTGAAGTGGAGGGAGCATGTGTGAGGGTTGCCGCTGTGAACAGGGAGGGATGGGGCCGCCTTCCCTGTGGAGGGTGCAGCCTGGCATTCGCTGGTAAGAGGGAGGGGTGAAAGGGCAAGGGCCAGCCTGACAGGAGAGGCGGCTCCCAGGGAGACAGGCAAAGAGGTCTCAGGGGGTCTGTGCTGGGGCGGGGCACCGTCCCCTCCTCCCCAGGCCCGGAGCAGACCCGAGGGGCAGGGGGGGAAGGGACGCCACACCAGCCAGGGCCCTCCCCAGACAGGGACAGCAGCCCTGCAGACAGGCTAGCCCTCACCCCGCCCCGAGCAGGACTCACGCCATCCACCGCCTCCAGGTCTAGGCGCAGCTGACTCTGCAGCGAGTGCAGCTTAGGCAGGGGAATGGTGCCGATGTCCGCGCAGCCCCGCAGCCCCGGCAGTGTGGAGGCTACGCCCAGGCCCTCCAGCTCCTCCTGCAGCTGCTTCACCTGCGCCTCCACCTCCTCCTTCTTCTGCAGCGCCAGCTGCCGGTCACTATCGGCCACGCGGGCACGTTCCTTGGCCTCCTGCGCCTCTCGCTGCCAGGCATCGCAGACCTGAAACCCAGGGCCCGTGCAGGAGGCAGCCAGAGCCCATCTCAGTCCCTCCCACCTCACCTATGCCACCTGCAGACCCCATTGCCCGTGTCACCTGCGATCCTCCCTCCCATCCCCCATCACCTGTGGCCCCCTCACCTGAGTCCCCTGCGGCCCTCCCTCACCCCCCCCACACTCACCTGAGTCCCCTGCGGCCCTCCCTCACCCCCCCCACACTCACCTGAGTCCCCGGCGGCCCTCCCTCCCCCTCACCTGAGTCCCCTGCGGCCCTCCCTCCCCCTCACCTGTCTGGCCCCCCACACGCTCACCTGTTTCACCTGCTGCCAGGACTCCTCCCACTGCCGGATCTTCCTCTTGGCCTCGTCCAGCTGCCGTCTGACCCGGGCCAGCTCAGTCCCATTTGGACTTGAACCCGAAGAGGATGGGGGGCCGGCGCTCAGGATAGGGGTGGGGCTGGGGGAGAAGCTGCCGGAAACAAAGTCCCAGATGCTCCCGGGGACACCGTTCAAACCTGAGTGTGAAAGGGCCGATGACGGCCCAGCCCAGCTGTGCTCACGGCCTGGTGACTGGTGGGTGCTATGCCCCGGCCCCGCCTCCACATGGGCACCCTCTGGGGCTCACCCACCCTGATGGCAGGGGTCTTGCCCTTTGTCCTGCCAGCCCCTTGCCCCACTCCTGGACCCCACCAGCCTTGGGAAGAGGCGCTGGGGACCGAGTGGGGCTGGCAGAGGCACTGACAGTGACACCTGCCCCGGCCGGTCTCCCCACCAGATCTATGCCTTCCCGGCCACCTGAGGAGTCTGAACAGAGGAATTAAATTCGTTCCTGGGACCACATCACGAGGTGGAAGGGGCAGTGGTTCTCAGACTCCACCCCCAGGAACGCCTCACACGGACTCTCACAGACCCCAGAGCTGTGTCCACACAGTGACATCTGCCAATGTGTATGCAGCTTAGAGACTATGAGATACTCTAAATGTTACTTTAACAAAAACAGGCCTGTCATCCCAGCACTTTGGAAGGCCGAGGCGGGCAGATCACCCGAGGTCAGGACTTTGAGACCAGCCTGGCCAAC